AAGTTTTTACTACATTACAATGAGCATAGCCTATGACTTCAGAGCAAAGGCAGATTTATGGCTAAACTACAACAAGAATGTCTTACAAACCAGAATCATAAAACTGCCTGACTTAGAAGAACGTGGAAGTGAAAAGCCAAATCAACTTCCTATTGTGGTCTCTGCTCAGTGCCAGAGGTGAAGACCCTAAAGGTACCTAAGTGATATGCAAAAGCTTGGGTCTGTGCTGGTGAGCAAGGCAAGGTCAAGTGCAGGATGCAAGTTGAGCTGTCAGCCAAAACAGGGCTTCATCTGGGATTCTGCAGGAGTTCATTTGGGATTCACCAGTCTTCCCTGGTGGCTTAGTCGGTAAAGAGTCTGCCCACAATGCGGGAGACCCAGGTTCAATCCCTGGGTCGGGAAGATCCCCTGGAGAAGGAAATGGCAACTCACTCCAGTATTCTTGCCTGGAGAACTCCATGGACAGAGAAGCCTGGGGGGCTACAGTCCGTGGGGTCACAAAGAGTCAGACATGACTGAGTACTAACACTTTCACTTTCAGGAATTCCTAACCTTGTCTTCATTTTGCTAGTGATGTGGAAGCACTGGGTTTTCCCTCAAAGCAGCATTAACAATTGAATCAGCAATTTTTGATCACATTCTGAACAACTTCTACAATAAGAGCCAAGGCAACAGATGCTAAATGCTTAATTTAGCACCTTAAAAATCTAGGGAGTATCTACTGACCCCTTCAGTAAATGACAAGTTGCTTAAAATCTGGAAGTCATATTGCTTACCCTTAAGGGACCAATCCCACTTCCAATGCATAAATGCCCCCTCTAGCTCCACGCTAACTCGCTGATCCAGCCACTCAGCTCTCTGGGCCTCAGCCTCTGCTTAGGAAGGTGAGATTCCCCACTGTTATAAATGAAAAGGGTACCGTGAGATAGGTATGTAACGTAGGTACTTCTGCATTCCTTGCTGAAAGGCATATGTGAAACTCTAGTACCATTCCACTGCCTACTCCAACACAATCAAGAAGTAGTAAGAGCAGTTCTGATAGTTTTTCACATATGCACATGCTCAATTGACCATTTTCTTCTAGTTTTTGCCTGATCACATCTGAATTTTTACACAGCTCTCAAGCCCTTAACACATATCCTACAGCAACAGGGTATCTCTCTCTCTCCGTGGGCTGAACTTGCTTTGCGAAGTCAGTGAAGAGCATGAGAGAGAATAAGCAGACATGATCTGAAATAACAGCAACCATAATTCTCAAAAAGGTTTACTGTCCTGGTGTTTGACCCAGAGAAGGGTCTTTCACCCATTTGTGCTGACTGGCTCCTTTAACATATGGCAATAGTAGTATGGAAAAAATGCTGCTTACAATTCTGTTCACAATTCTGCCCCAAGCTTCATTAAAGTACACTTAGTGATGAAACCAACAGTTCTAATATTGGATAATTAAACACAAGAGGAAAAAAATTCCACTTTAAACCACTCCCAAAGACTAATCTACAAGGAGGATTTAAAAAGTATATAAAAGCTTTTCAGACTATAATTAATTCAGATTATATTTAATTAGGTGGTCAAAGCTAAAACACAATATTCTGCAGCACTCTGTCTTTTCATTGAGTGCCCACACTGAACACACTACATTAAGAATCTGTTATGGAAAAGGGATGACAGAGGAGGAAGAGACAATAAAAACACATGTGCTGCCTGAACTTTCTAAAAGCACCATTCTTAGGGAGTCTGGAGTACTGTGCTTACAAGGAATGATGAGAACCCTGGAAAAAATACTATCTGACTAGTTTTTATTTCTTGAGCAACACTCTACTTTTATAACGTTTCAAGGGAAATCCTGACTCTTGTCTTTCAAGGTAATATCCTACAAGAACTCCAATCAAAAGCAGAAGTACCAGAAGAATAATGAAAACTAACAAAACTAAAGACAGGAAACATCTCTCTAGTCTAGACATTTTCATGTCCTGGTCTTGCACACAGTAGTCTAATCTAACAGCTAAAGCTAACAATTTTAATTTTTTTCAAAATATATTTAACCGGGAAGTCCAAGAACACTTTAAACATATATCCATGGAACATCAGGGGCAGAGGGTCCAAAGTTTTTAAACTTTTCAAAAGATGAGTTGGACAAAGAAGGGAACCAAAAGCAAACTTCCAAAATGTAACTGTTATAGATATCAGCTATTCATGCAACCTTTTCATAAGTAGAATAAAACAATTTACACATACACTCATCTATCTCATTAATTTATGAAGCAATAGACATCAAGAAGGAAAAACATGGCGGGGTTTGCCTCTTTAAGTTATCCAACAGGAATTACATTCTATTTTGCTTAAGAAACCTTAAATGCTTAATTTAACCTTAAATGCTTAAAAAACCTTAAATGTAGAAGAGTCCTGACATCATTTTCATCACAGATAAGAAAATTTAGTTAAAAAATATTATTTCAAACAAAAAAGCATAGATGAACCAATATAATTTGCAGACAACTAGAATCAATTCTCAATGCAAATTCCAAGCCTAGTTTAGCTATGATTAAAACTATTAACTGGTTTGAGGATTACAGAAAATATTCTTAAAAGATGTTCCTACTTTTTTTAGAATATTTAAAGTTGCTATATAATGAATCAAATGTTTATAGACACAAAGCATATACCTAGTATATATTAAATGAGAGAAGAAATGTACACTCTATTACAGAAATATGCTAATATGACACTCTTAAAATGGAATCTTTAAGTAGTAACAGAGGAAGAAGTGGAGATACACTTTACTTACATGTATTTTTATAATCTGTGCATATATATCTCACAATGTGCTAATATTTACATAAAGTATCTTCTTTAACCAGAATTGCATGTATGACCTCAAAGCTCCACCCAGAACTAATCCTCTTAATGAGCACCAAGGAAACAACTTTCTTCAAAATAACGTTTCAAATCAGACCTTTCTGGAAGGCAACAGGCTCCTTTAGTCCTTTGTGATGGACGATGTTCCACAGGACTTCTGCTACATGCTTATGAAATGCTCTCGTTTCAACTACTCACAATGCACAGTGCGCGATTCACAGTTAAGACCACAGACGACCAAGTCCCAGAGTTACGTTAGATAATCAAGGTTGGATTACTTCCCAATTTCAAGAAGGCAGTAAAAATGGCATTTTTAATAAATATAAAGAGTAAAATCTCCTCCCCAAAAAGAATTTTTAAAAGTATGAAACAAATCTGGGTTGCCAAAAAACATTCTCCAATCTTAAAAAATTAATTATGGAAAAAGGACAGCTGAGACTTCACACCTAGATTTGAAATCAAGTGTATTTCCCAAGCAAAACCAGATCTAAATACACCTATTTTATAGCAACAAATCTAAAATCTGGATATTCCAGTCATGGTGTTTTCTCTGGTTGTAGCCACATCATTACTAGAGCCAAAGAGCTGTTCAGCTCAAGGACCATGTGATGTAATAATGCCCACAGAAAGTCAGCATCACATAGAAGTAACAAAACCACGGCTTGATCACATTTCTTATTTGTTTCAGAAATGCTAGTTAAATCAAATCCTATTGATGCTACTTCATAAGTAACTGCTCCTGCGTTCCTGAAGCTCAGGCAGCCCTCAAGGACATTTGTGGACCCTACCGGCTGTCCTGCGCCCATCTCCCACCGACCCTGTCCAACTTCCTCAGCTGCCCTCAGAGGAACCACCAGAGGCCCCAGGGTTCCCTAGGCTCCCTCCTGTCTGACTGCTTCTGCACAGGCTCCTGTCTACCTGAGGATACCATTCTCCTCATCTCCCTGCCCTACCTATCGCCACCTTCTACCGCATCGAAACACGACTTTCTCTGGGAAGTCTGCCTTGGAAGGAAATCTGAGAGCAGTGGGGCAGACAAGGGTCCTGGGACATTCCTGTTCTATAGACCAGAGGACCCGCCAGAATATCTGTCACACTGTCTCACATTTTTGCCTCTAAGACCACAAACTCTTTGAAGTCACAAGTTGAATCTATTACATTTCTCTTCTAATTATTAGGTCTCACAATGTTCCCAACACATCATAGTAAACATTTATGTAAAAGCTGTTGATGAGATAAATGAACAAAGGAGAAAGATAAGCCAACAGAACTGAAGAATACAGTGCTCTGATTTCACATTAGTAGGTTTTCACTCTTAGAAAGGAGGTGGAAATATGAGTCTGAACACAGATTTTCCACAAAATGTTACAAAAGACTTCTAACTTTTTTATTAAGAAGGTAGCATACAAGTTAGATGTTAATAGAGTAAGAGGCTTTTGAGCTGCTGAGAGTCATTCATATATACACTATTCTACACACTATTACAAAGAAACAATACTATAACATAAAATAGTTTTCCTCTTTTTGATGTTTATGTTTGAACAATAGTATGGCAAAAGTAACTACACATATTCTTTGATGGTAAGTTTCACTAGTTAGGTTAGAGAAGATCAAAATCAAAATAAATGTGTACCCTGCACGCGTGCATGTTCAGTCACTTCAGCTGTGTCCAATTCCCTGCGACCCCATGGACTGGAGCCCGGGAGGCCCCTCTGCCCATGGGATTTTCCAGCAAGGACACTGGGGTGGGTTGCCCTGCCCACCTCCGGAGGTGGACCCTGCAGATGCCTTTGAAAGTTCACACAGGTTAACGGCCACTTCGTGCTGTGCAGTGAAAGAGTAAGCAGCCTGCTCCTACCCGGGAAGAAAAATCCCTGCCCTTTCTCCCAGCTTTAAGGCTTTACAAATGATTCTCCAACATAAAGGCCTACAACGGTGTGATTCTTTCCCGTGACTTTGAAGGTAAACCCCACATGTTTTTCAGTCATAATGAAAATGGAACACGCTATAATCAGTAAAAAGCACACACTGAAGTGTCTTTTTAACACAGGCAAAATGACATCCTCAGTTCAGAAACAGCTATTTCCTACAGGAAACTTACGACCAGGTTGGGAACGGTGTCCAAGACCTTTGAGAACTCTTACCTAATCCCATGCGGCTTGGACTTGTTTCTCGACTACACCCCTGACTCCTGGGGATCTTGCTTCGCTTTTCTGAAGAAGGTGTCACAGGTGGGCCTCTTGAGGAACCCCCAGCAAGGCCACTATAACCACTTCCCAACAATTTCCCTGGGGAACTGGACCGGCTGCCAGCTAAAAGTGAACCAAAACAAAACTGAATAATGAACGTAAATCAAGAAGTAAGTTAAAAGTAATTTCAGAAGTCACTTTACAAAGTAGTTTCAATCAAATGCCAGGAGAACTTTGTGTAAAATAGTTTTCTAGTTGATAATATCACTAATTTTTTTAAAAATGAAGGAGCATAAAAGAACATCCAATTATCATAAATATTTACACAGAAGAACGAATGATGGAATTCTATAGAAACAACTCCCAAATTTCTGATTCAAAAGAACAAGCTCAGGTTCAGAACAAAAAGTCTCCCTATTCTGTAACAAACTTCTACCAATAATCACAAAGGTGTTTATTAAATAATTGTTTTGCTTCCTAAAGGAGTGGATATGTTAAAAACAGCTGAAAGAATAGAAATATAACAAAAATTTCTTAAACATTAATGGAAAATGGATCTAAGACTCCATTAATGTAACAAATGGAAAAGGGGGCAGAAATATGGTAAACAAAAATCACAAAGTAAAATGGTAGTAGTAATCTCAAATATATCAGTAATCATAATAAATGTGACCTGATTAAATTAATCTATTAAAAGACAGAGATTCCTGGGTTGGTTTAAAAAAACTGAAATGAAATTCAACTGTATGTTGCTTATAAGAGACAACATACATAAAACAAAACAACAAAACAGAATAAAACACTGAACTTAAAAAAGAAAATCATAATTATCCTTAAAGATATAACAATCATGAAACTTTATGCTACAAGTAACATAGCCCTGAGATATAAAATGATAAAAATACAGAGAGAAATAAAAAAGACCATAATTATTTACATACCTCTCAGAAAGACAAATACCAATAAAAGATTAACATACTAGTCATAAAATGACAGAGCAGTCAAAACCCTATATTTATGCATAAACATACCTCTCCACACAAACAAATGTACAGTCCAACAAACAGAGGTATATTCTCTTGTACATTTCCATAATAACTATGTACTAAGTCTCAAAGGAAGGCTCAAAAACCCTACAAAGGTAGAAATTATGCAGAATACATGCTGTGATGTGTATGCAGTAGAACAAGAAATCAGAAACACAATATGGGGAAGGGGCAGCAGGAGGGGTAAACCTGGAGAGATGGGGGCTGCTGGAAACACACTGCTATACGTAAAACAGAGAAGTGATTAGGACCCACTGGAGAGCACAGAAAGTCTACTCAGCACTCCGCACTGACCTGCATGGGAAAAGACTCTAAAAAACAGTGGATATGCGCATACACATAACAGATTCCCTTTTCTGTACATCTGAAACTAACACAATGTTGTAAATCAACTATACTCCAATAAAAGTTAAAAAACAAAAACAAAAACAAAAAACATAATATGCAGTTAGCAATTTTTATAAATGGCTAAGTGACTGGATACTTATACAGCCATTTCTTGTAAAACAAAAGTCTTTCTTAAAGCAAGCTGCAAATCTTTTAAGGATCAGACCAATATACCCAAATGGCAGTCATTAACTTAGGTAGATCATCCCCTTATGTACAGAAGGCAACAAAATTCACAAATATCAAGCACACATTAATATGCAGAAGAACAGAATGATCCAGAGAGTAAACACCTTTGAAATAAAACTTACCTGGAAATTACACACACACGTCCCTCCATAATTCAAATGAACCACCAAGATGACCACTTACAAAAATTAGTACTTTTTAACGACTTAACTACAATTTAAGTGAAATTCATTATAAAAATTACCAATACACATTATCATGAAGAACCTATTTTAGGATCTATTAATTTTGCCCATAAAATTTGAGCACACAAACTATTCGGCTGTTTAAAGGAGAAAAGAAATCCATTTCAAACCCTAGAATTTGAACATGCAGAGAAAATGGAGAAAGATCAAGCTCATAATAAAGAGAGAAATTAATACTGTGCAAGGCACATGGGGTGAGGGAAAATGCAAAAAACAAACAAACAAAAATAAAAACAGCAAGAAGAGAAATGTCTTACCACCAGCAGGATTAGCAGATCTGGATCCTGGGTTATGAGAGCAGACCAAAGGACAGGCAAAAAGTGGATTAAAAGACAATAACACAATACAGAAGTCAGCATGCAACATAGCACAAATGGGTCTGTTTACAAACACATTAGCAAAAGCTGTTTTTCCTAGGTCTTGTTCCTCCTAGTCTACTTCTGTCCTTGTTTTTATTTTATACACATCATACTGTATTAGCATTCATGTTCTACCTGTCCATGAGACATGAAAACACTTATGAACCTACCCTGCGCTGGGCACAGTGCAGGCAGATGAGACACAGGGAAGACTGGGGGAGTGCCGGGCCCCTCGGGGAGTGCCTGCTCTCTAGCTCTGAGCAGCCTGGCAGAAGTGATGGCATCTTTTTTTTTTCTTGGCCGCCATGCACGATCTTAGTTCCCTGACCATGGCCCCTGCAGTGGAAGCATGGAGTCTCCACCACTGGACCACAGGGAAGTTCCAGAAAGTGACTTACCATCTGCGTTCTCTACCACTGGACACGGTGCTCACCACAGAAAGGGCTCCATAAACATCGACAAAGTGAAAGAAACTGCCACTAACTAGTATCATCTTAACAAGGTCTAATGCCAAATTCTTCAACACTTAAATATCAATCCTCACCTAGTTAAATCCTCAGCTATTTAAAATACGCTGTTGTCCTAAATCTAATATTAATGAAATCTACTTACTCTTAAACCTGAACTATGAATGCTAGTATATCTACATTTGTAAAATATACAGATGTGTTCATATTTACCTCCTATTAAAATAATTTTTTAAAAATATCTGATTTATATACACAAGTTTAAGGTCCAGGCTTGATCATTTGCTGGTGTTGTCTCTTTCCCATGAGTGGAATTTGGGGAATAAAATAAAACTGAAAAGTGGGTCCCCAATGCAAGGTGCAGTATTTTTATAAGACTGAAAAATTAAAGCTCTCTCATCCCCACTAAAGACTTTATTTTTGTCACTTCTTAAGCAGAAGACCCAGCGAGGGGCAGAAACCCCTGCAGAGACCAATGTCAATGAACAGCAGACATAAAAAAACGTAAAAAACACTGTTAAACTCTTTCCATGAAGGAAAATAAACTTGTGCAGCTAAAGGGTTGAGACATTTTTTAAATTCAACTGAACTCAAACATATTGACCTATTCTGAGTCCTGAACATTTTTTGTCACGAAAAATTTCCTTGTGATATGATTTGAGTACTGTGACCTGAGTATTGTATCTACCTGTGACTCCAGGCATCACTAGAGTTCAACAGAACAACCAGAGCCAGGATATTACTCCCTAAGCAGAAGGTTCTGGACTACACCTGCACAACTTACGTTGCACTGCATGGTGTGAGACAGTGAAGCATGGGCTTCTGCATCAGACAAGCCTGGGCTGTGTAGCCTCCCAACAGGATGACTGACTGTGCACTTTCTTTTCAGAAAGAAAATAAAAGCTGTTTCAACATGAGGACTCTTAATTATCAAAGGGACCTGAGAAAGTACCTAAATCCAGGAGGAGCTGAGAAAGAGCTTCTGAGCATCTACGAGAGGAACGAAGGACTGGCTGCCGACTAGCCGCTCTCTACACAAGCCCGGCAGACACCATCAGCTTATGAGTGCAGTGCTGAGGGAAGGGCAGCCTTCCTCCGGCCCGGCCGCCCTGCCCAGAAGGACCCTGACACCCGCCCCACCCCACGCGCACAGACAGGAAGCCTGTGGGGCCAGGAAGTGAGACATCAGGACTGGATCCTGGATGAGGATACGCTCGTCCCATGCATGGGTGCTCTCACGGGTGATGCTGACAATCAAGTGGCTTGACATATACAGAGAAGCAGTAATGGAGGCGAGGGCAGCTGAGCGAAAGCAAGAGCCCACACTGGCAGGAAGAGAGGAGCAGGGTGACGTGTTAGCACAGCGGGCTACGGGGAGCTCTGAATGGATTTACTTCTTGCTGCTGGAAAGAGACCTCAGCGTGAGCAGTCACCTCCTGGGTGCTGTTCTCAAATTACATCAGGAGTCCTCATCAACAGCAAAACGGGTCATAGCCCAGACACAGCTCAACTCGAAAGGCTTGAGGGGGTGACGAGAAACTACATTTCACTGCTTACAAAATTTAAACAGAATGTAAGTCGCTTGGAAAGGAGACACAGGTAGGTACTGGAATACTCCATTGTGTAAGCTTATCCAACAAACATAAAGATTATTCAGTGTCTTAAGAGTCACCAAAATGTGTTTTCCCTCTAAAGTTGACAAAAATAATACAAATTTCCACCTGCAGAATGGCTGTTGGGTAAAACTAAGAGAGCAGACAGCATAAAGTGTACTTCTTACGCTGGGACTGCGAGACCACTTTGGCGCGACTGCGGCCCCGACTGTCAGGTGTAGAGGCGACGTTGGTGGCGCTCCCGGAGCTCTGCCGTCGCGTGCGGATCCGGCCTGGAGGACACAGCAAACACAGTGCTTTCGTAATGTTTCCAGCAAGTGCGACCCACTCAGCAAAGCACCCAGATCGCAAACGAGGGGCACGGGCTGAGTCACCTCCAGGGGAGCAGGTCTCCCCGCGTGTGGTCTTGACACGCACACGTGCACCGGTCTGCATACACAGACTCTACAGACATGTCAGAAACTCCCCAGAGGTACTCTTGCACCTATCAGGTGCTTCTGTTTCAACTATTTCAGCATATTCTATTTTCAGATGACGTGACAGTCACTTGAATAATTTTTCCACAATTTTTAAAACTTCTCTCTCCTGTTTACTGTCTACATAATCTGTCATATTTCCAAAAGCAGAAAAGAATATTAGCTGTCATCTTCATAAAAATACTATGGGGAAAAAAAGAGTAAATGGAAAACAAAATAAACAAACAAACAAAAAATCTTCTTAACCTGGCAATCAACAAAAACTACAGCACCCTGGAGAATAAATATTGTCTTGATAAATAGCATTTAACTTCTATTTTAAAGCATGTATGCCATCAAGTTTCTAGGTTACAAAAGATGAAGTTTATTAAAAGAATCAATATTAGGAGTACCTAGAGAAATGGCCTAAAAATAATGCAATGTCATAAGCATTTATGAAAAAATTTGACGTTTTATGTAAACCAATGTGTTAACGCCAATTATTAAAGCATGAAACAACATAAAAATGAATTCATAAACAGTCAATCACTGATGGTAAGACTAGAATGATTAAAAATTAATTTTTAAATTCAGGGATTCTTTGTTTTCAAAGGGACACAAAATGCTCAACTTCCATAATTCAATCAGAATAGCAAACTGATTTTGCTATTCTGAAAACAAAACAATCTGAATTCCCACTGGCTTCTTAATGTTGTTCAAAAGCACATCTACCTTATCAACTGAGAAAATCTGCAGAAAGGCAATACAGGATAACAAATCTGAAAGCTTGAAAAAGGTTCAAGAAATGAAGGTAAGGAGCAATAAAAGAAAGCATGGCATTTAATTTAAAAAAAAAAAAAAGAAGAAAGCTAGAAAGAATCAATGACCTTTAAGAGGAATTGAATGAAAAGACCTAAAAATTCTACAATCTATGTTAAAATTAGTATAGATGTGTCTGGTGGAGAAAGTAAAGTCTGATGTTGTAAAGAACAATACTGCATAGGAACCTAGAATGTTAGGTCCATGAATCAAGGTAAACTGGATGCAGTAAAGCAGGACACGGCAAGAGTGAACATCAACATCTTTACAAATCAATGAGCTAACATGGATGGGAATGGGCAAATTTAACTCTCATGACCATTACATCTACTACTATGGGCAAGAATTCCTTAGAAGAAATAAGAGTAGCCCTCAGAGTCAAGAAGAGAGATCAAAATGCAGTACTTGGGTTAAACTAAAAAACGACAGAATGATGTCGGTTTGCTTCCAAGGAAAACCATTCATTGTCACGGTAATACAAGTCTATGCCCAAACCACTAATTCCAAAGAAGCTGAAGTCCAATGGTTCTATGAAGAGCTACAAGACCTTCTAGAACACACGAAAAAGATGTTCTTTTCATCTTAGTGGATTGGAATAGAAAAGTAGGAGGTTCAGAGATACCTGGAGTAACATGCAAGTTTGGCCTTGGAGTACAAAATTAAGCAGGTCAAAGGCTAACAAGAGTTTTGCCAAGAGAATGCACTGGTCATAGTGAATACCATCTTCCAACAACACCAGAGGTGACTCTTCAGAGATATCAATACAGAAATCAGATTGAGTATATTCTTTGCAGTTGAATAGGGAGAAGCTCTCTCTACACAGTCAGCAGAAACAAGACCTGGAGCTGACTGTGCCTCAGATCATGAGCTTCTTATTGCAAACTTCAGGCTTAAACTGAAGAAAGTAGGAAAAACCACTAGACCATGCAGGCATGACCTAAATCAAATTCCTTATGATTGTACAGCAGAAGTGACAAACAGATCCAAGGATTTAGATCTGAAAGAGTGGCTGAAGAACTATGGATGGATGTTTATAATGCTGTACAGGCAGTGGTGACCGAAACCATCCCAAAGAAAAGGAAATGCAAGAAGGCAAAGCGGTCGTCTGACCAGGCCTTACACGCAGCTGAGAAGAGAAAAGAAGCAGAAAGCCAAGGAGTAAGGAGAAGATCCCCTGGAGGAGGGCATGGCAACCCACTCCAGTATTCTTGCCTGGAGAAGTCCATGGACAGAGGAGCAATGGAGGGCTACAGTCCATGGGGTCGAGAGAGTCAGACGTGACTGAGCAACCAACACAAGGGGAGGATGTATCCAACCGAATGCAGAGTTCCAGAGAACAGCAAGGAGATATAAGAAAGCCTTAACTGAACAATGCGAAACAGAAGAAAATGGTAGAATCAGGAAGACTAGAGATCTCTTTAAGAAAATGAGAGCTACGAAGGGAACATTTCATGCAAAGATGGGCACAAAAAAGGACAGAAACAGAAGTAAAGAGATTAAGAAGAGGGAGGTGGCAGGAATACACAGAAGAGCTATACAAGAAAGCTCTTAATAACCTGGATAGCCAAGATGGCGTGGTCACTCACCTAGAGCCAGATATTCTGCAGTGTGAAGTGGGCCTTAGGAAGCATTACTAGGAACAAAGCTAGTGGAGGTGATGCAATTCCAGTTGAGCTATTTCAAATCCTAAAAGACGATGATGTTAAAGTGCTGCACTCAACATGCCAGTAAATTTGGAAAACTCAGCAATGGCCACAGGACTGGAAAAGGTCAGTTTTCATTCCAATTCCAAAGAAAGGCAATGCCAAAGGATGTTCAAACTACTGTATAATTGCAGTCATTTCACATGTTAGCAAAGTAATGCTCAAAATTTTCAAGTTAGGCTTCAACAGTATGTGAACTGAAGAATTTCAGATGTACAACCTGGATTTAGAAAAGGCAGAGGAACCAGAGATCAAACTGCCAACATCCACTGTATTATAGAGAAAGCGAGGGAATTCTAGAAAAACACCTACTTCTGCTTTATTGACTACATGAAAGCCTTTCACTGTGTAGATCACAACAAACTGTGGAAAATTCTTAAAGACAAGGGAATACCAGATCATCTTACCTGACTTCTGAGAAACCTGTATGCAGGTCAAGAAGCAATAGTTAGAACCAGACATGGAACAACGGACTGGTTCCAAATCAGGAAAGGATCACATCAAGGCTGTATATTATCACCCTGATCATTTAATTTATATGCAGAGTACATCATGCAAAATGCTGGGCTGGATGAAGCTCAAGCTGGAATCAAAATTGCCAGGAGAAATACCAGTAACCTCAGATATGCAGATGACACCACTCTAATGGCAAAAAGCAAAGAAGAACTAAAAAGCCTCTTGATGAGGCTGAAAAGAGAAGAGAGAAAAAGCTGGCTTAAAACCCAACATTCAAATAACAAAGACCATGGTATCTGGTCCCATAGCTTCACAGAAAAAAAATGGGGGAAAAGTGGAGGAAAGTGGCATATTTTATTTTCCTGGGTTCCAAACTCACTTGGACGGTGACTGCAGGCAGCCATGAAATTAAAACATGCTTGCTCCTTAGAAGAAAAGCTGTGACAAACCTAGACAGCGTATTAAAAAGCAGAGATCATCAATTTGCCAAAGATCCGTATAGTCAAAGCTGTGATTTTTTCAGTTGTCATGTACAGATATGAGATTTGATCCATAAAGAAGGTTGAGTGCCTAAGACCTGATGCCTTTCAAATTGTGGTGCTGGAGAAGACTCTTGAGAGTCCCTTGGACTGCAAGGAGATCAAACCAGTCAACCCTAAAGGAAATCAACCCTGAATATTCATTAGAAGGACTGATGCTGAAGCTGAAGCTCCAATACTTTGGCTACCTGATGCAAAGAGCCGACTCACTGGAAAAGACCCAAAAGATTGAAGGCAGGAGGAGAGAGGATTGACAGACGATGAGATGGTTGGATGGTATCAACTGACTCAATGGACATGAGTCTGAGCAAATTCCAGGAGACAGTGCAGGACAGGGACAGCTGGCACGCTGCAGTCCACGGGGTTGCAGAGTCGGACATGACTTAGTGACTGAACCCCACATCACTATGAACCACGTAATGTGAACTCAATATCCCCATAGCAGCACACCTAATTAATCCCACTTTACAGATAAGGAAACAGAGAAGCATGCGGATTAATTCCTTTATCCAGTGTCCCACCAATGGTTTAGATTCCCATGCATGGATGGCTGGCTGACCTAAGAGTTAGTCTCCTAAGGAAGTCACCAAGCTATATGCAGGCAGTCACCAGAGCAAACTGAAGACGAAAAATAGCTGAATTTACTTTTTTGTTTAAATTTTTATAAAATACTTAGACCGCAAAAATTTTTTAAAATGAGCATCCACAACCATTCAGTCAAGAAAATAAAAACCTGTATCCTTCACCTCAACCTGCAACATTTTTGGTAACATGAGCTAAACCCAGTGTTCATCATTCCCTTACATTTATATTTTTAATCTACATGGTTGTATAACCAAGAAATAGATGGCATTATTTTATATATTTTAAATGTAACTTTATCATAGGGTACATATTTTCCCAAAACTGACGGTTTGGCTCACCATTTGTGAGGTCACTTATGGAAGTGACTTTTCTTCCAATTAAGGGGAGAGCCATTTCACTTTTTCCATATGGCTATGGAAGGCACAACCCCTTTCTTACTAATGTAAAGAGCCACCCATGTCACCTATGAAGCACTTGTATACACATAGGGCTCTGTTTCTCCACTGTCGAGTCTGCCCCATTAGTCCAGGTGTCCATTCTGTGCAACGTACACAGCTGTGAGCAGCTTTTCAAAACCACCTTCTAAGCTGGTTGGGCAAATCAAGCCACTTTCCCCTACAGCCCTTTGCTCGCTTGCATATGCACGTGAACATGCAATAAATAGATGTTGTGAAAGTCTGACTAGAATTATGGAACCTGGGATTAATTTTTTGGG